TGAAACTAGAAAATGAATAAGATAATTAAAGAAGTTTAAACAAAGAAAATGAGATAATTAAGTAATGTGATATCAATGTATGAAAAAGACAAAAATACCCTAATTAACAAGTTTGTACTATTTAAGCGGTTAAAAAATGTTTATATATATATATAGAGACGAAACTACCCTGATTAACAAAGTTTGTATTAATTAAGCGGTTAAAAAATGTTTATATATATATATATATATATATATATATATATAGCGGCGGAGTCAAATGAAAACCGAGTTTTGGTTGTGAACGAGGAACAAAGGAGAGCGCAACATGTGTCTCTTGTGTCCACGAGTTATTTATCATGAATAATGATGAATATGTATTATTTGTCATGAATAATGAGCAATTTAATATAGACCAATTATTTGTTATTCATCATGAATGTTATATCATTCATCATGAATGGTTCATGAACTTCACCTTTACTATTCATATTGAACGTGGACATTGAAGACACTTATCGTGCTATCCTTTGTCCTTCCATTCACAACTGAAAATCAATTACAAATTTAACTCTTCTCTCTCTCTCTCTCTCTCTCTCTATATATATATATATATATGATCAACAAAGAAGAATTAATGTGGAAAAGTTTGATATAGTAAAAGACAAATATTTAAGTTGAGTTATATTAATGAATATAGATATAGATATAGATATAGATATAGATATAGATATTGTGTTGAATAAGCCAAAAGTGAATTAGGTACACCAATTAAATATGAAAATGAGGCTGCTTCCAAATTCATTAATCATCAATTTGGTCATGATAAACATTTGAAAAATAGATTTTCACTTATTGATAGTATATGTATATTCTTTTCATCGATAATACAAATAGCATGGATTTTTAACGGAGTATATAGTGTCAAATACACAKAACGTGATAGATTAGAAAATCCATCATCGATATGTCGACATCGACGGGATTAGCGATTGATTCCTGATGACCTAAAACCTTTGGCAATCCGTTAGTGAGGATCTACTTTTTATGATTTTAATTTTTTTT